AACCATTCAGAAGCCATGCCATCCAAGCCAGCCTAGTACCCTTAGCCATTCTATGCGTCAGTATCATGTTCTATCTGTATACTGCCTCGAGACCCTGCGCGAACTTCCATTTTTCCATACAGCGGTAACAATTTCGACTCCTAGTCATCTCTCTTCCTCCAAGCAACATCACCCTTCTTACCATTTGGCATTGACCATCCCCAATTCTTTCGTTTACCACCTAAAAATGCATTGTTCACGGATCAAAAACTGTACGATAGAGTGTAGGAATGGCATGTGAGAATTCAACATAAACGCTATATTGAACTGTGAGACGGAGCTCAAGTTCATCCTGGGTATGATGAAACAAAACAGAAGTCATATCTGTGTGGGTGGAGTTGAGGAGAAATGAAGAGTCACAAGGCCAGACTCAAGGTTCACTGTGGGTTAATACCTCAAGGCTAGTCACACTTCTTGACCAACGTTGATGTAATGGCTTACATTGCTTTCAAAATTCACGGGTTAGTAGCAAGCACCTAATGAATCGCGCCTTGATAATCCAAACTTGAATTTTATTAACACCATTAGAAATCAGCGAACTTTGTACGACTGCTGTTTTAAGCCTATTTTTAATGCTTGCCAAGGACTAAGAATTTGCATGTGCTTTCAGAATAGCATCTCAACAGAAGGCATTGTTGAGTGAGTAATTTTTAAGTGTCACATTAAGTTACGGTTACAATTTCTTGAACGGCAATATTGCCTTAACCAGATGAGGGACATACTGGTAAAGAGGTCTTGAGGCGCTAGTAAGAGAACGTAGACCTAGCGCAATTCGATACCTTTACAATATTACGGCACCGCTTTGGGCTGATGAACATTAGCTTAGCACAGTCACAAACGCCAGCTCTTCAGGCAATCAGGAAGAAAGCAGACCAAAAAAAACGATCTGTACACAAGCGATGACGATGCTATGGGCAATAACTATATCATCTCTGACACCTGATGACCAAGCAGTCTTTAAATCGTGTGGATTGTTTAAAGGGAACTCGGGCTTCAAAAATGATTTATTCCCTGGAAGACGTACTTCAGCTTGGTGGCAACTCACCTCAACATTACCTGAAAGTTTAACACTAATGTAATATTAGTTTGGATGCATTACTTATGCAATCAATTGTTTGTTTAACTATAAGTAACTACTACCACGGTGGTGGCCATGATGACTGAGCCGGGTCGGTTGACTTCTGGACCAGTCCATACATATGTACCGATATGAAATTGTCAGAAGCCCTTATCCACATGTGTGGGTACTAGCATTCGAATTTTAGCTCTCAACACGGTCGATGGGCAATCGAAACTAAGATTCTGAAACCTGTTTCTGAGCTAAACATAATTACGGATCCAGGATAAGCACTGAAAGGGTTAAGTACGGCTCCTCAGTAAAATAGGAGCGCACGATCAAAACGGTCTAATGGAATGTTTTATGAACAATCGATCATGTTGTAGGGATCAGTGTGGTAGGCTTATTGATAAAAGCACGGATACTGTCGCTCATACGAAGACGGGAAAGCAACTTCATGCTTGTTTATTTAACTACCTGTATAGTTGAGTTCACAAAGATTTATTTTGTAATCCATGCTAAAGCTCTAGCTTTACCCCATTTGCGTAAGATTCAGGTTTTCAGACAAGCATATGTCCTTACTGCCTTAAGGCAATTATTGAGACCCCATAGATGGTTTAACAAAGTATAGCCGCTTGTGTAATGCTCTGCTTATGTGACTCCCGGACGTTTGGTGGTCACTTTAGAATTTGCCTGGCACCTGTACACGTGGGCTGACCTTCGGGCCACGTTCAGGCCCCATTTGCCCTGCCGTCTTTGGAATACATGCATTCAACTTCACTTATGCCTTCTTCCACCCTATGGGAAGCCTCGGTACGGTACAGCTTGTAAAAAAGGCAAACAGGTTCTCATAGTGCTTGGAACATTGGACCAGTTAAATTTCCTTCTTCTGAACAAAAACTGATTATTATACTGCGATTGGAACATCTATCCTCCAAATACACAGAAGCTTATCATAACGTTCTCTTACGGTCAGCATTAGAAATAACGGTAATGGAAAAGATTGGTGTCAAAGGTAGTATGAAAATACGTTGGCGCGCTGAT